TCTTTTTTGGCGCTTCTGTCAAGGGGGTGCCATTTTTTGGGTTTCCCCGGGTGCGGTTGGGGTTTTTGTTTTTTTGGGGGGGCCTTTTTTTTTCCTTGAAAGGGCCTTTCCGCCCCCCCGCTTCGGGAAAAAGTTTGGCCCATTTTTTTTTGCTGCCTTTGTTTTTCCCGTTGTTTTTTTTAATCCACAAAAGGGGGTGGGGGTTGGGGCTTTTGGGGGTTTTGTTCCGGGTGCGGCATTTTTTGGGGATTTTGCTGCGGGGGGGGTGGGTGTTGGTGGGGTTGTTTTTGATGCGGGTGCGGGGTTTGCTGTTTTTTTTCCGGGCCCCCCCTTTCCCCGTAAAAAAGGGGTTGGTTTTTTTTTTTTTTTTGGGGGGGGGTTTGGAACCCTCCTCCCCCCCCGCCCCCCTTCCTTGGGGGGGGTTTGGGGGGCCCCTGGGGCCCCTTTCCCAAAAAGCCCCCCCCCCCCCCCCGCATCCCGAGACCTGCAGCCCCTGGAACCCCTTGCTGCTGCTGGGGGGCCACCACCCCTGCCGCTGCTGGGTGCAAGAGGTTTCCCCGCATGCCCCCGGGGGTCACCAACTCCGGACTGTTCGTGTGGGTGTGGCTGCTCGCCGACGCCGCCGCCGCCGCTGGCGTGGACGTGTTCGACATTGCCGCGGGATCTTCGAAGCTGCCGCGAGACGTTTGCCACCCGGAAGCGTATCCGGCGGGCACGAGGCCTGGTGATGATATCACCCTGGAATAGTACATCATTGTTTTGTTTGTCGGGAAGGGGTGTGCGTGAGAAAAAAAACACATGTTGTTCGAGGTAACAAAAACGAAGAGAGCTGGAATGGACCTGCAGTGTGACGGCCGGATGGTTGGGCGCGTGCGGGTGCACGATGAGAGCACTTCTTGCGCGCCATCTCAACGCTCGTGCGAGTACGAAGCAAGGTTTTCTCGCGCGGCTATTTCCCCACAACTCGCAACCATGCTCGCGGGACAACCGGTAACGACGAATGATGGGCGCCGGCGACAAAAAATAGGTCCAACCAACAGCAGTCCCGACCAGCAGCAGCATACGATGGAAATTGAGCCGGGGACACATGCCCCTAAAGCAGAGACAACAACGAACCAGCGGAATCACGCTTCCTTGAAACTCCCATGGGAAGAAAAAAAAACGTTCACACGACCCGTTGCGAACCTCCTCCGTGGCCAACCCACTTGCAGGGCGAGTCTGACTACTGGACCGCCTACTCGCCTATCCTTGTGTCCCACGATACACGATACACAAGGCTGACGTATTTTATTTTTGGCCGCAGGTTGGCGCGGTCAACCCACACAACCACACACTACATGCGCACATGGCGAAAGTTCCGACCCCCCTTCCAGGGACCATTACTTTAGCCGCTAGCGCTGAATCTGTTCATGGATCAGCCGGTTAGCGCGGTCGGTGCAAAACAAAGAACACAAGCAACAACTATTGTGCCCCCCATGTCCGAAGAACCCTTTGACTAGAACGCGCGTTTGCGAGTATTGTCCCGCCGGAAGACTGGCGTCGTGTCTTTGGCCAGCAGTAAGCTAGCGCGATCGATGCCAATTCGAAAACACAAACATACATGGCATTTCATTGGTCAGCCGGTTGGCGCGGGTCGATGCAACCAATAAATTCACATACAACACAACACAACACAACACACGAGCCTCACCGACCGTCACGAGCGCCGTCCTGCAGCAGCCCCGACGGGGGCTGCTGGCTCTTCACCACGGCCCCAGAGCAGCCGCACACAGAGCAGTTGGAGTGCTCCCCGAGCCTCTCCCGGTAGTTGCGGTACTCCTCCGATGTCACGGCCAGGTTGAAGTCCAAGCCGAACAGGAACTCGATCTCTAGCGAGTTCATCTCCACGCACGGGACACCACCCACCTAACATTGCGCGCGCGCGGGGGTGGGGGGTATGGACTGTTAAAGCGGTGTGCAGGTAATTTAGCTCACGCAACATACCAACAGTACGCCTTTTGCCGTACACCGATAGCATCGGCGGGGGAGGGAATTTCCGACGCCGTCACTTCAGCAAGAAGACTACGGTTGGTTACGTGGAGGCATGCCGAGGAGCCAGCCCCTCGGCGGGGGATATCATGCCGCGACAGCAGTAAATTGGCGTAGGGATGCGGTGAGGGTGTGACCGTGCTTGCGATATTCTGCTGCCTTTGCATCTTGACGCCTTCACAAGCGCGACTACCGCTGTTGTGCGTCGAAGACCGCATGCCGCGCACCTTGGCGTAGTAGGCGTTGTTGTAGTACTGGTCGTCGAAAAACTTGGCGGCGACCATTACACTCGTGATGGCCACGCGGTGGACATTGAGCGCGGTGAGCGCGAAGTCGTTCCGCTGGATGAAGCGGTCCATGTAGATCAGCCCCAGCACGAAGCACTCGTTGCTGCAGCTCGAGTACTTGAGGATGCGGTCGAGATATCTAGGGTGATGGGAGGGAGGAAGGGGGGGGGCGGGGGCGCAGAACAATTTAAGGTCGAAACAGGTGAAGAAGACAAACAGAAAAGGACCAGTCGAGCGATTTTGTGTGATGTGTGTGCGTGCCACCTCCAACAGGGTAGGGAGAACCACACATCCTGAACAGTCTCCTATCCGACCCTGCGTTGCAGCAGTCTGAGAAACAAACACGACGTTCTCATTGTGCCTGTGTTTGATTTGCCTCTATAGAGCTACATCGAACAAAGGACCTCGAACGCGCAAGGAGCTGCATCGGCTGGGGGGGGGCAATGTTGTGCATGCATCTTTCGCGCTTGTCCTTACAGCCAGCTCCGAAAACCACGCTGGCATGCGCATAGTGGCGGCAAGCACAACAGCCCACACCACCGCCCCTCATAGCAACAGCCCACACCACCGCCCCTCATAGCAACAGCCCACACCACCGCCCCTCATAGCAACAGCCGCAAAGGCGCTCCGTTGTATGGCGTACGACACAAAACATCAAAACACAATCTTGGATCGATCGAGCTATCGCTAACAAGCTTCATAGCTCACTCTGCGACGCCAATACCAGGAGGCCTCAGGGCGTGAAACTTGGTGACCGCGCCCGCCTCCAAGTGGTCATGCTGACCAGCCAGTCACAAGAGAGAGAGGGAGAGAGAGGGAGACAGACAGACAGACAGACAGAGAGAGAGAGAGAGAGAGAGAGAGAGAGACGACCCGATGATCAGGGACCGAATTTCCGTACCGATGCAACGAGTGGGCCACGCGAAATACCCACCGATTGGTAAGCACTCGTTCGTGCAGACGCATCACAAAAAAAAAAAAAAGTTCGTTCGCCTCAGGGTACGAACGAGACGCCGACAGTAAAAGAGGAAAAATCGTCCTCTGACTATACTCGAAACTCACGACAAAAAACATGCTTCGAAGTAAACACTACCGAGAAGACAAGATGACCAAAATAACGGTGGTACATCAGATATCTTCGCAACGCAAAATGTATCCTGTAACCTTTGCTTCGGTGGGGGGGAAGAAGACATACTCAAATGCAAAAAACAAACTACGGAACACGACACCTTGCTCGCTCACCCCGCTGTTTGCGTTGGCCTGAATGAGCTTCTCGAGGACGCAGGCGAGGACCGTAACGAGCGCCCTCCCCTCCGACACCTGCTCGGGCGTGCTCTCCATGGCGTCCAAGGCCTAGAACAAACCCCGCAACGTCTAGAAGGGGCGTTCCCGCCCCCCCCCCGCCCAAACGCCGTGCAAATCACTTCCCAGATCTCCGGTGCCAACCAAGCGTCCGGTGCGATCGTTCTTGCAAACGGATGGCTGGATATAACCGTGAATCGACAAATAAGCAACCGCAGTGTCTTGCAAAAAGCTCTGCCCTAAGCGTGTACGATAGAATTGTGCTCTACTCTCCCTCCCGGGAACCGCCCAACTGGCGGGGCCAATCAGAACACGATCTGAAGGAACGAGCCAACGAGAGAACCCGGAAACGAGTCGACTATTCTCGTTACCAAAACGAAGGACTCTAAAATATACTTCCTAGATAAACAGAGGGCCAAAAATTCGATCAGTGTAGACCTAACCCCCCCCCCCCCGGGAATAACAAATAACCAAACAAGAATAGACCCGTTCGGGAATACCGCCACACGGCGGGCCCCTCGTTTCAAACCAAAACACGAAACCCTATCCGCTTGCGCCGGGGGCTCTGCTGCCGCACGCGCGCCCCGCCCCCTTCTCTACCCAGCCAACCGTTCTCCGTAGTCTCCGAAACCCTTCCTTTCCTCGTCTTCGCTTTGGCTTCGTGAGGGGAGCCTCCTGCCCAATGCGTCAACAGCGCAGAGAAGACACAACAGGGGTCACCGTGAAGCGGGGGGTGGGGGGGGTAGCGGGATATGGTAAGGGTGCAGGTGTGTAGGTGCTGGAGCAGCGGGAAATAGGACGCTATCTTGAACAAAAAAAAAAGGCACTCACACTGGCACATGAACGAATGTTGCGGATGGTGGTTCGAGATACAACGCGCGCGATCAGGCAAGAAATAAGGCCGACGCAGGGTGCGCTCTATATTTTCGGCTCACGGTTGAAGTAGCAGGGAAGAAATAACTGATCTCGGTAGTGGGTGCGGCGGAGGAACGAGCTGCTCGCGAGTGGTGCATGAGACAGGGACGGCGGTGGCACATGATATTGCTCCTGCTGTTCGCGCACCCGGTCTCTCTCCAAACCCCGCAATTGTTGGAAAACACAAGCTTTGCTGAGGCGATGAAGGGCGCATGAGACTCGTCGCCTAGAGGGAATCGGGGACTGCGAAATGCTTGACACGGGAAGCAACACTTGTGGCTGCAAAAGGCGGTGGCGAGACACTCGCCGAAAATAAAAATAAAGTGTCCCGCTTAGGATGTCTTCAACTTATATAAAGCAATCATTCCACGACGTCTCCGTCACTGCTTTAATACTGCTGCTGCTTGCGGAGTCTGTCTGCCGTACAATGGTCTTGTTTTGCTCTACCGAGACACACAAGGTTCGGCGGAGTGACACAACACTCCTTTCACGGCCGGTGCAGGTCGTCGGACTTTAGTCGCGACGATTCTCGTTTCCCTCGTCAACCGTCAAGTCGGACTTTGCCAAACCAAACAAGACGGGGTGTCCTCGGGCTAGATACCATTGCTGCTTCCTTGTTTTCTACATCAACAGACAAGTGTCCGCCACAAACCAAAATCAAATGGTAAATGGATCAGAGGGCAATGCTCTTGTTACGGGTCTGGTTTGGTTGACGCGGCGGCCTTTTATGAACACGCCGCCACGGGTTTTCTCCTTCAAACCGTTGGATGCGGTAGGATGATCCTCACCTCGCCACCAACTTGGCACGAAAGAAGCTGGAGCTCCGGTCCTCACGGTAAACGCTAACCCCACGTATACACCCAAAACCTCCCTTCATGCTCAAAGAGCTTATACACCGACCCTATATTGTATAGCCCAGCCTTGCATGGATAGCCTTTCTCTCACGGCAACCAGGTTGTTCCACAGAACATTTCAACCGCTCGCCGAGAGAGTGGCAGCTCTTCCCTCTACGACTGTAATAAATCATCAGCTTAAAACAGACTCGAGACTCGAAATAAGTCCAGTACCCAGCCGGTTTACCTCCACTCACAGAAAATATTCCACCACATCCCATTCGACTGCTGTGGGTATATCTCGAACGGGTAGTCTTGTTTGGTGTGTGTTGTTCTTAATCTTTCCAAATAAATGTCACATATGAAGTACAAGTACAAAATAAACATGAGCGGGGCAGGTCAAAGACTATCATCACAAATTCGCAGACCTACAGAGTAGTACCTTTTCGTGAGACCAGGTACCCGCGTGGTCTGCACGGACCGAAATTAACCCCGACCGTATGCATAGCTATTACGTAGACCCACCTTGCCCCGGAGTGAGCGAGTTGGTCCCTCTGCTGGTAGATACGTACCACAAGCGAAGCAGCTCCGGCGCTTCCGCGCAACTCCTCCGCCCGGCAGCAGTTCTCCACCCTTGCTCTGCTATCCGGTTGAAGTGCAACTCCCCGCCCCGCTCCGATGCACAGATCCCTCCTTCGCTGTGCCGGTTCCAACCAACTCAGTCCCTTACGGCCGGCGACGAGTTGTGTATGCAGGAACGGTCACTCGCAGATCGAATCCCACACCTCTTCTCGAAGGCTGCTTGTTGGTTGCCTCCCTCCTGTTTTGCCGCCGCAGCACTACACACCCGCGTGCTGAAGCTTGAGCTTGAGCACCGATGCACTTCGGACCGCGCCCGTCTTGCCCTGAACCGCACACAGAGACAGAGTGCCGGCTGCTGCTTGCTGCTGCCTGCCCGCCGTCGCGAGGAGTTAGTACTGTCTGTATGACGTAGTTTAGGCCCCTCCCCAATGGTACCTTAGCGGCGCATAGCGGTGGCGCGAGCCATACACGCCCCCCGTGCCCCCACACCCCCGGACATCATGCAGGCTTTTGATACCCACCCGATCCCTGACAATGTGCCCCCCCTCGCTGCTGTTCGCCATTTTGGTAGTAGACAACAAGACGCAGTACAGCACACGTGCGAAGGGCGTGGACACAAACGGAGAAAAACTAAGGACACACAGAGGAGAGAGGATGTGTACAAACCCTGTTGCATACAACGCTTTTCGAAAAAGCGACGATGGCTGTGCATCGAAAAGATGCAACGCACTTACGAGCGTTCCTACCACGTCCCCTCATATCAGGTCGTACCCAAGGCCACAGGAAGGAACAGAGGCAGCACCCTCGGAGTGCGCTTGTGCACAGGACGCACACTGATTTTTCCGTTCACTTCCCGTTTTTGTCCCCCAAACTTAGACAGCCCGACCAGGCAAAGAGGGAACGAGAGAGACAAGGGCCGAAAAAATGTGCGATCGTCAACACTCACGAACTCTCCGCGCCAAATGATGGGCCCTCACCCTCAAACGCGTGCTAACCATGCGACGCCCTGTCCAGCGCTTCTGGTGAGAATCGGCTCCGTCACTTCAGGGCCAGAAGGTGTGTGTTTCTGCTGCCCCTGCCCTGCGCTCTCCGGAACCAAAAACGAAAAAACGAACGTAAGAAAATGCTCCTGCGGTGCTGCTGCTGCTGCTGTTGAAGAGCTTCTCTCCAAAAAGGCACGCACACACAAAGGACCACACACAAAAGCCGCCGCCGTCTCTCCCCCCTCTGTCCCTTCCTTTGCACAGACCGCCACCGATGGGGCTTTGACACCTCTCCCAGACGATGCTTCACTGGACGTTGGCGGCGATGGTGATGTGTAGCTCTCGTCCATAAAAAAAACGGGTGTGGTACACGGACAAGGCTGGAAGGCTGGTACGGACAGAGCCAGAGACCAGCAGTTGTGGTACCCTCGCTGTCTAGTCAGACGATCCGTTGGTATATTATCTTCAAAAATGAATAGCACAAGCTTTCGGGGGCTCTGTAGATACACAGGAGTTCGAATGACTAGAGTTCGGGTGAGGGGGGGATGTTTTGTCGCAGCCCCTGCAATTATTCCCTCCCCTGAATATAGCCTGCTACATCGAAACCTGACAGTCTCGCCACACTGCACCTGTCGCGGTGTCGTCATGCCGCGGTGTCGTCCTGTCGAGCACACCACACCAGGCAACGCTCCAGGCAACGCTCCGTAGCTCTCGAGTATACCCCAAGCCCAAACACTACCGTTTCCACACCAAGAAGTGGGTTTCGCCACGACATAAGGACGGGACAGGTCTCCAAAATACACACCGCACGCGCTTCAGCCCCCCACGCCGGATTGCCTGTCCGCTGCTCGCGCCTATCGATGGTCGTAGCTCCTCGTTATGACCAGTGCGCTCGGTGCCAGGAGCAGCGAGAGCGTGTGAGAGATCCACATCACAGAAGTGGCCACTGCTGTCAAGGCGGCAAACGCTGTTTGCCGCAGCAGCAACGGCGACATCTACAACCAATACCGCGGCAACCCAAACATCAACAACACGAGGAGTTGTTGTGGGCACTTCCTCCTCGTCCTGCTGCTACCTCCAGCGGCAGCTACTTTCGGCTCCTCAGCCAAGCAGCGTTGGCCACCGCGACGATAATGCTCGCCCTGCACCCCCGACTCTGTACAGCCTTCTCCTCTACCACCATCGCTGCTGCCCGGTTGCCGCAAAGCCGCAGCGTGGTCCCGCAAGGCGTCCGGCGCTATGCATTCAGAGGGGGAGGAGTAGGAAGGCATGGAGCGGCGGCCGCCGCGATTGCACGGAAGCCCTCAGTCCCGTGGGTAGCGGCGCTGCGTGCAGCAACAGGAGGTGGTGCCGCTACCGATACCGCCTCTCCGATCAGTTCAGTGAAGGAGACTGAAGTGGGGGAAGGCACAACAGAGGCAGGCGTTGACAGCGGAAGGTTAGAGATGGCATGGACGATTTCCCATTTTCAGATCTCCGCATGATTCATGCTTGGTGGGAGCATGCTTGAATTTCCAAGACTACACTGCCTTTAGCGCGGGGGTTGATGTTCGCGGTTTTCGTTCTTGCCGAATGGTTCAAGAACACAAGCAGTTTGAACCTGACAGTGCTCTCGTGTCGGGCTTGCATGCGAATCGGCCGGTATGCTGGTGCTGCAAATCATCAGCGAAGCTGAGATAGAAATTGATAGTGTACACTTCGCATACTACGCATGGTCGCATGCGCTGCGGTGAAAACTCCATCAACGCCATCCTTGCCAGGAAGGCAAAGCTTAACTCTGTGTTTCATTGCGTTTGCAGAAATCCAAGGGCATGGAATAGGATGTTCACGTACGATGACGAGCTCTCGCTCCCTTCCAGTTGTTTTTGATGCGTTCTGTGGGTATGCAAATCAGCCAAAAAAGCGGCTACTGTTCGACCTACGAGAAACGTTAACGTTGGGAACTCTCTTCCTTTCCCCTCCGGGGCAGCAACGGCAGGCCCGTGGAAGAGCGATATCTAATGCGGGAGGAGAGGAAAAGAAGGAGGAAGCTGGCCCGTGATGCCAGAAAGCTCAACGTTGGCAGGTACGCATGCTCTCTCTGGCGCGATTTCCATTTTCTCGCCCTCCGAGGTTTCCCCCCGTGTTTTTTGTGGCCACTCGACTTGTCGCCTAGCTAACGGGCTCCCCGGCTCTATTTTTGTAATCGTTTCTGATCCATGTGGTACCCGCCTGGGAGCTGGCCGATATCATTCGCATGGATATTTGAATAGGGCGCTCTTTGGAGGGTTCTTGATGACATTGCGGATATGATGGCCCGACTTTTTGTATCGATGTTCTTGTGGTGGTGTTTCGTGTCATGTGTGCGGTGTTACGATGGCCAAAAAGACAGGTCAGGATGCCCGAATTTCTTTAAACACGGAGGCGGCGCGATCGTTGCTGGTGTGGCTGACGTTCTCGCCCCGGCGGTACAGGCACACTTGAATGCGAAGGGCGCCCAGCCACCGGCCTGGCAATTGCCAAACTGGAAAGCTGGTTATTGCTCAGCCCTCGTTCTCTTACATGCGTTGCGCGTAAAATCAGTGCTGTCTTTTCTTCCCGGGTCGTCTGCCCAACTAGCCAGCACTAATTCGCGTGCATCACCTGTGTTGTATACCTGTGTTATATGCTGTTGTGCGTAAATCCTCCTCGGTCGCGCTTTCGAAAGGGCCAAGAGCGTCCGACGAGCGGGAACATCCACGGAGAAGGTGGGGCTGGAGGCTCTCCACCCCCCTCAGGGGCCGCCGGGATCGGGCGCGCCTGCCCTCTCCGGCCTCCCAGACGTGTCGAAACCCTTCACGGTTCTCGGGATCGAGACGAGCTGCGACGACACTGCGGCGGCGGTTGTGCGCTCCGACGGCGCCGTGCTCGGGGAGGTGTGATTTTTTTTCTTGTGCCCATGTTGTTGTGGTTGTCTTTTCAATGTAAACCGTTCCGATCTCTCATCTGTCCGTTTTCATCTCTTTTGCTAGTGGGACTTTCTTGCAGCAAGGCTGCTGCTCGTTCGTCGAGGAGTGGTCTTTGGTTTGGCCAGAGTGGGGCTAATGGGCGCGTCTTTGGGCAGTTTTGGCGTCTCCACTCCTCTCCGTGCCTACGGTACTGCTGGTCGGCTGGGTGTCGATAACCCCCGTCCTGACCAAGTGGAGAAAAAAGTGCAACGTCAACGGTATACTAGTTCCCTGTCGTGATGTAGCAAACGCCGCTAGTATTGTCGTATCCGCGTGGCGTTTCACAAAGCCACCCGCCGTGCTTCTTGCGGCGACACCCTTGGAGTCGTGGCCTATTGTGTTCAGGACAGTGATAGCCCCCCCCCCGTATAAATCCGCGGGGCCTCTGCACGCTAGCTTGTTGGTACCTGAGTTTTTTTGCGGAAATGTCGGAACCTCTTTGCCGATAGGCGATCGCGGGGCAAGCGGACGTACACGAGGAGTGGGGAGGCGTCGTGCCTGGACTGGCGAGGGACTCGCACGCGTTGAAGATGGACGGGGTGGTCGAGAGGGCGCTGGAGCAAGCGGGGCTGGGTTCGGCAGCCGAAGTTGATGCTGTTGCTGTCACCGTGAGTACTACCACTGCTGTGTTTTCGTACGCTGACGTCGTGTTTTTCAGCCACGTTCTTGCGGGCGGAGAAGCCATGGGCGTCGGTCCCGACCGTAGAGGTCGGAGGAAGCCAGGAGCTAGCTCTATTTGTCTCTTCGTTGGTTTCTGTGGGCTGCGCCTGTCTTGTAGCCCTGTGTCGCTTAGGTTTGCTGTTGATGTGGAAGGGTTCAGAATTTTTGGCAGGTATTGCCACCTGTTACGCGGCGAGGTTTTGTTCTCGTTAGGCAGCTCTTTCGACGTCCGTCCGTGGTTTCGTGCCGATCTCCTCTGTCTCATACGACGTGTGATTGGCCACGCAGGTAGGGCCCGGGCTGGAGATCTGCCTGCGGGTTGGCGCGGAGAAGGCTAAGGCCCTCGCCGCTGAGTACGGAAAGTGAGTCTCCGTGGGGGACATCTCTCGCCGGGTTATTCAACAATTATTCCGGAGTGTGTCGTCTGTTTGGATAAAATGCTGGTGCGTCCTTTGTTCATCGCCCTATCGTCGTTCTTCGCCAACGTCCATCTTAGCGGCGGCTGTCTCTGCGTGTATTTCTCTCTCTTTCTCTCTAACTCCCGAAACCTCCCTCTTAATCTCTCTCTCATCTCTCTACATTTCTATCTCCAACCCTGTTAATGTCAATGCTTGTTGGAGTGTTGAATGTTCTCTCCTGTCTCCCTAGCCAAATAGCTGCTGGCTCGCCCACCGCTCAATGCTTGCTGGGGGAATCTGCCTTTGTGATTTCCGTTTTTTTGGCAGGCCATTCGTGGCGATACACCACCTAGAGGCGCACGCGCTCCTCGCCAGAAAATCTTTCACCGAGACGCGGGCGTCTTCTCCTAGCGCTGCTGCTACTCCTGCTTCCGAGGCCGCTCCGGCTTTACGTTCGATTCCTCGCTCTAGCGATGTTTCTGCGGCAGCTGCGGTCGCGTCCTCGGCTCCATCCACGTCTGCCTTTGCGACGGCTTTCACGGCCGCTGTCTCCGACGTTTCGGCCTCTTCTGCTGCCGCTGGCGATGTGGCGGCCGCTCCTTCCGCTGCTAGCGACCGCTCCCCTGCTGATTCTGCTGGTCCTGGCGACGTGTCCGCCGCTGCGGCTGCTGCTTCTTCGGTGCCGTCCGCGGCCGCTTTTGCGGCCGCGTTTTCGGCGGCGGTTACCGACGTTTCCTCCGCAAGCGCACGGGCTGCCAGCGGCGTTGCTCCTCCCGCAGCTGCTTCTGACTCAGATCTTCCTGCGGCTTCTTGCAAGGGTGCCGCCGGCAGCGGCACCTCTGCGGTCGACGACGATGACGATACCGGAGAAACACCTCCGCTGGAGTTCCCGTTCTTGGCGTTGCTCGTCTCCGGGGGTCACTGCCAGCTTCTGCTGTGCGAGGGTGTGGGTGTGTACACAGTGCTCGGCGGCACTGTTGACGACGCCCTGGGAGAGGCTTACGATAAGGTGATGGTTTGGGTTCTGGTCGTTGAAATGGTCGAATTTCTCTTGTTTTGTGCCGCAACCTCTGTCGCTGTGACTCGATGTTTTGGTTTTGAACGGCCTCCTACATGCACTCTTGAGCTGTAGCGCCCACATACACTTTTATCATTAGACGGGTGGTACTTGCTCGTGTTGGTTGGCCCTCGCTTTTGGCCCTGTTCAACAGCCGCCTCCTTCCGCTCCACACACATGCCCGTCCATGGAGAAAATCTGGATCTCGAGAGGCGGATATCGTTGTCCGCTTTGACCAACACGAAAGACCTTTACACGGCAACCGTAGCGTTGGATCTGTCTCTGCAACGTCTAAACATGCCTGTTTTTTTTCTTGCATGGTGTCGCCCGTTTTTTATTCAAAGGCGGCGCGACTCCTCGGCCTCCAAGTCGGCGGCGGCGGAGGCCCAGCGGTGGAAGCTTTGGCTCTAAAGGGAGACTCTTCTGCCGTCCCCTTGGCAGTCCCAATGCAGGTACGTAAGACAACAAGGCTGGTGTAGCTGTGTATGGCTGTACACGATGTGCGAGACGGTTGTGTTTGCCAAGACGAAAACGACAATAAATCGAAGAAAAAGCCGAAAGTGACGACCTTTTGTTTTGCACCAAACCAAGCCGTCAAGTGCTGTTCACAAACCCAAGCGACACAAGGCCTTTTATAGTGTACGCACGTGTTTGTTGCTGCTGTACCCTCTTTTTTCGTGTTGTCAGTCTCGGAAGGATCTCGACTTCAGCTTCGCCGGTCTGAAGAACTCCTTCCGCATGGCCGTTACCAAGACCGTCGAGGAGAACGATAAGAAGATGCGCGAGAACAAGCGGCCGGGGGCCACGCAAGTCGGGGATCGGGTAAACGGAGGCGACGCCGAGGTACACACTTACATCGATATTATTTTTTGTGATGTTTGGTGGCTTTCGCCTTGCTTCTTGTTCCCTTCTTTTACGAGGGGTGGGTGAGTCAAACACGTATATATGTGCTACTGTAGCTCTCGGGCAGGATTAAGGGGGCGGGGAGGGTCCCCTCGCGTCCGTGCTTGATTGTGCAATGGGTGCGTGGCGTGATTCATGGGCGGGGTGTTTTTGGGTGTGTGCTCTTCGGTGTCGAAGCCTCTTTCGTCTCGGCGGGAAACTTCAGGACGCGTTGCTCTTCATGAAAAAACAAAATCAGGCAGCCCTCCTTCCCTTTCGTCACTCCCTGGACGCAACCGCCAGCTTAGGGTTTGCCTGCGGGTGCTGTTTGTGGCCCTGCTCGCACGAATGAGCTCACTTCAGGCCTTGCATGGACGAATATCAGGCGGCCGCAAACGTGGTCGCCGTTCATGCCGTGGAAGAACCGCAGCGGCCACATTTTCCACAGAGATTGTTTCGCCCAAAGGTCGAGACAACCACCTCTGTTCCCCTCTGGAGCCCTGAGTGTTTTTGTCACGGCGTCTCGGTCGTACCATGTATGTGTGCTTACAATAAGGTAAATGCTGCAAGGCACGCCGATAACCTTCTTCGCCCCAACTTTTTCTCTCTTTTCGCTTGCTGCAGCTGGGCGCGGCTGAGACAGATAAGGGCACCGGCACCGAGGGGCTTGGTGGGGATGAGGTTCTCTCACCGACGGCGTCGATGGAGAGGAGAGGGTGAGGATGGTCCCGCAAACGTACGATTTGTTTAACACTACGTATCTCGAGGGGTTCAGCACCGTGATTGAATATGATCTGATTGATCATCGCACCATGCGAATGAAACTAGGCTGGTGGAAAGTCCCCGCAACACGCCATAGTTTTTCGCGGAAGTATTAAAATGACTACGAGAAGTCCTTGCCTGGACAATCTTTGACCTTCACCCCGTGCCTCGACAAACTTGACGCGCATCGTCACGAAGTCTCTGGCAGTGCGTGAATAGAACGTGACAGGTTGGCAATACCACAGAGAACAGTTACCGGAGGATCTTGCTCATCTTAAGTGCAACAGCCTCGGCCTTCGAGGCGTAAACCATGCTCTTGAAATGTGGTCATCCGTCTGTCGAATATCCAACTTCCCATGCAGGAAATGCTTGAGCACAAACGCCGGAATCGTTGAAAAGGATCGCATCCCTGACACAAGACACCACCCTTTCGAGACCAAATCGCATAGAAGTGCGAAATAGCGCACTAGCCGAAAGCCCCAAAGGAAAACCTTCGAACAGTCATTTGCAGCAGAGGCGTTAGAATGTGCCGCTATGTAACGTTGTGCACGCTTGCCGCTCCCGTTACATGCCCTTGTCACATTAGAAGAGCCTTATATTCTATCGCATTCGTGTTTCGCCGTTTGCTTTCGAGCTCGAACCGTTAGACCATCGACCACGTCTGTTTTATCGATCTTGATGCGACAACGACAAAAACAGGGCGGCTTTGCCAGAGTCTATGAGGGCCGACCTCGCTGCGTCTTTCCAGCACACCGCCATCCGGCACCTCGAGGAACGGGTGAGGAGGGCGATGGATACGTGCGAGGCGATGGTTGGCAAGGTCCCGCCACCGCCACCGCCACCGCGACCTGGCATATCCTCCCACCAAAGCACAACACCAGAGGGGCTGAGATCCGAGGTCGGTGATTGCGATTTTCTTGTTGCGTCGATGGTATTTTTCGCTGCTGCCGGTGTTGATGCTGACGTACTGCTGTAAGCTCTTCGGCTTAGGGCTACCTCGATGAGGTTCGTCTTGTGTCATTGTGATCAACGTCACGCTTTGACCGTAATGGTTCTGTAGGCCTCGGGCAGCATCGGTCTACCCCGCCATTCCCCATCCGTGCGCCCCCTCATCGAACCACAACCTTCTTCATACCGAGGCAGGCGACGAGCACCTTGGGTAAGACGGAGTTCCAGAGCCCTGATGGCGGGAAGACGGGAAAGGGGGTCGACGATAAGCCAACGCAGGAACTGAGACGGGAGAAGGACGGGGGTTACGGGGAAGAGAGGATGGCGATGGACGGGGTCCCAGGTGCAGCGAAGGCGAAGGGCGTGCGAGCCCTGGCTGTCGTTGGCGGTGTCGCGGCGAACCAAGAGCTGCGGCGACGGTTGCAGGTGGGCGAGGCGGGGGACGGAGTGGCACGCGTGAATGGCTGACGTACGCACAGCGTTATCGGAGAACCGTGTGCACAAACCACTTTTGGACAATCAAAGCCCGCAGTTACGCAGCATTGTACCCACCAGTTTTTTTGGGGAGGTTGATCTTCCAGGCGAGGCACCCTTTTTGTTCAGGGCAATTGTGTCAGTACCTCCGTGGCGTGCGCAGGCGAAACCGCATATACACACGCCCAACACGTCCCTTCTCTATCGTCACTAACCCGGTAGGCGCTGTGCGACGAGAGAGAGCCGGATGCGTGGCGGATGGTGGTGCCCCCCGCTCGCCTCTGCACCGACAACGGCGTGATGGTGGCGTGGGCGGCGGTGGAGCGTCTTCGTGAGGGCATGTCTAACGACGCCGAGGAGCAGGAAGTTTACGCTAGGCTCCCTCTCGGCCGCTATGCCGGCCACGACCATGAAGCGCCCTGATGGGTGCTTGGCGTCGCCTTGTTGATTTTGGTCGTCATCTTTCGAATTGGTTCGCCAAGGCGTGTTCGCTAAGCTCCCTCCAAAGCAGCACGTTAATGCGCCGGTAGTTTGTTTCGACAATTGGTCTTTGACTCGGCCTTGATTGCTGGTTGTGACCTTGATGCTTTTTTTGTCCATTATTGAGGCGGGCATCATGATTTATTTTTCTTTTCGACACAGGGATGTCCATCGCTTGAGTTGTATTAACGGTGCAGTCCGCCGCGTGTCCATGTCTCAAGACTGCAGCAGGATGTCACGGTGTGTGCCAGGTTTCAACTGCCCCTTTTTGGAGGACGGCATGTGGACAATACATACCACGAGCGATAACGTTGGCCTACAGTATTGCCTGGTATCTGTAAAAATTCTCGTACAAACAAGTCGGCACTCACCCGCGATCCATGGTTTCGCAAATACATGTACACTTCAAAGTCATGACGTTTATTTCGGATTTCGCTCCGTATATACATCTCTCTCTCAGTGACACCTCTATTATTGCCTCTATAATAGCATCTGCTGCTCCATCGTTCGCCAGGAGGAAAAAAGCACGTTCGTTTGTTGGGCCCGAAGCGCGGAGGTATTACAGGTACACGTCTTTTTTTGTGCAAAGCGGAGGTTCACAGCAGCAACGAATCTCCCGTTCGCTTTATGGCGCATGTCCCAACAGATATCTTGGCCTCTCACATTTTCTTCTGCCACGAATTACGTACACAGGAAGGACATTGGGACGTGTTGGACAGCTGTTGCTCCTATCATGTACCTGGTGTTTTTAGGTCCGCACCCGCACATACATGATCCTACACACCATGATTATCGCGCGACAACACGCCCATCAGCACCCGCCCCGCCACCCCCATCACACCCAAAAACACTACATACCCGCACCTAAGGCATATCCAACGAGGAACACCATCGATCACAAACTGGTTCTTGTGAGTTGGCGGGATCGGCGGCCGGTGTGTTTGCTGAGGCCGCGCGGGGCGACGTAAGAACGGCGACGCGCCCGCTCTTTCTTCCTCTCTCCCTGGTGTGCTAGAATCCCATTACACCAGAGCATCAGAGAAGCAGGTGCTAACAACGTTCATGAATGCATGTATGCGTGCGTGTTTGCGTTCGTATCTCTCTTCGTTCGTCTATTCTGGCGCCAGTAAGTTCAACGTACAGCCGGCGCCGTGTTCACCCTGTGAGGCCTCGTATAAAAAATCGGGCTCGTACCAGCCCCTGGCAGGGTCGCACCCAAATGGAGGAACGTTTTCCAGTCGCATCCGAACGAGAGTGAAAGGATCTGTCGGACATGATTGGGCATTGCATACATGTGGTAGGATCCAACAGATGCCCTGATTCGGCATGATATTCCCAATCGAATAATTTGTATGCGCGTTCCATCGAAAAGAATAAGCATTTTTTTTTTTTTGTCGATTACGGGGGTCACTCATTCAATGCCGCCGCTTGCCTTCTGTCTCACACACGAACCAGGCAGGGCGGGCCTCGTCAGCACAGCCGTTCTTCTCTTCTTCGAGGATTCTCCATCTCCACGATAGGCAGAGAGAGACACACACAGACGGAGAGAGAGAAGAGCGGTTGCGTTGCGGATCCTCGCGGGTGACACGTCAACACGTGGACCTGTACACCACAAAAACGACACACCCCCCAAGCTCCAAGTTCTTCGTCTCGACCGCTTTCTTTCTTTCCATTTCGGTACAACGCGCATCAGCTCCCCAACCCCAAGCAACAGAAAACTGCAGCTGGTTTAGCACGGAGGGAGCAGGCGTCAGCAGGAGCGCAGCGGGGGTTGAAGCGGGAGAAGAACAGGACGGCTGCTGTGGTGGGTAGTTTCCTCCGAGTTGTAGTGGCGTGGAAATCTGGAACTCGCGAACATAGGAGGAAGAGAGCACACGCTGCTGCTGCTGCGCTGCCGAAGAAAAAAGTTCTCAACCAGTGTCGGGTAACAAGCTGCCCTTGTTTCGGAGGACCACCTGCCCCGCGGGTCCCGGAAGCAACGCACTTGAGGGAACGGGAGCTGACGGCAACCAAAGGTGAGACCAGCGCACCGGGGCGGGAAGTTGATGACGATGTGTGTGTCCGGTAGATATGCATATGCCTACCCGAGACAGCAGCAGTCAGCGGTTCGGGTAAGTGCATGAAGAGCGAGCCCGAAACAGGGACTTCCCCGGAGAGGAAAAGATCGCCCGCCTCTCGACACAGCAAACGACAGATCAACATAATTTCCTCATCGTTTTCATCATCTTTTCAAGGTAAATGTATGCCGTCGGTGTGACGCGAAGAGCGCCGAAGTGAGTTTTCTCGACCCGCGATACATGTAGAACAGCAGAGCGTCGTTGCTCACGCGTTGGAACCAAGCACGTCGTTGGTTCTGTGGGCGCCGGAATAGACTGAAGCATGTTGAATCTGTACTTATAGACACACGGGTCTCGCTATTTCCGGGTCCCCGTTTTTTTCTTACATGCTGCTGGCATGCTGCCGGTGCCCCTACAGCAATTTGGTGACCCTTTCATAGAAGATTAATTAACATCGCACACTCATGAGGTGCAGATGTTGCTGTCAGACAGAGACACACCGAGCTACGTGTACATGATTCTTCGAACGACTACAGCAGTATCATCATGGGTGATTCATCATGGATGATACGTATGTCGTTACCGCGGCAAGGCGTTTTCTCGAAGTTCGGGGAACATCACACCGCCCCGTTTTTATTTTTTCATGCATGCAAATCGCAGCAGTTTCTTTTCTTTCTTTGCGCCTCTCGCTGCCTCTCACGCGAGCCCAGCGCCAGTCGCTCTTTTTTTTTTATTTGCCGATCGAGATTTTTATGCCGCCTACTGCGTCTGACGTGGTACCGTATTTTAGGCCTCTGCCTTGTTCGGTAAGCCTACGGTGAGCCTCTCAGGCAAGACTTTGGTTCAGAACAATAAAAATAATGCCGGGCCCGAGGGCAGGGCGCAAGCTGGCGTACAGCAGGTTCAGGCCATCCGAAGTCCCTGTTTTTTTGTTCGCCCCCAACCAACGCATACATACATCTACTGTACACATATTCCGTAAAAAAGCAAATTTTGTTGGCTGTGTTGGGGTATGCGTACCTCACAGAAAACAGATTATGGAACAGTATGCTCCGTGTACTTGATCCTAGTATGTGTACAGCATAGACACACTTCACAACCCCCACCAAGCTGTTGGGCTGTTCTGGGTTCGAATATAGCTCTCTCTCTCCATCAGCCCCGCGAATCGTGCTCAACACGGGGTCAGGAGCGTGGAGGTGGGTGCAGGGACAGCAGTCCGTATAACCCACCCCCCCACCTGGTTCATCATTACCAGTGGTGTCGCCTGTCGAGTTGTGGATGTACTGGTATGCGTATGCTTGTAAATAAAGGCTTGTTTTTCTTGCCCGCGTTTCTCTGATCGGTGCCGTCGACGTGCGCCCGCGGCGAAAGCAAGTTGCCTCGTCGCTCCTCGAAAGGCATACTTGTATGCACGCAGTCCTCGTTTCTCCCCTGAGACAGCAGTACTACGGCTGTCGCTGGTGGCGCTGCTGGTTTGTACTTGCACCAAATGTGCCGAGACATCAAAGTTTCAGCAGACAAAGTGGGTTGGCCGCAAGGAAGTTGAGTGGACTTTCCGAACCGCCCGTTTTCTCTACTGCTGTAGGACCGGCGCTACAATATCACAACTTTGAAAACGTTGAGAGAGGCCGTGGAACCAAGTGTTTTTGAGTTGGAAGGCATCCATTTACGCGCGTGCTTCTGGGTGCCAGGCCAACAGGCCAACCGGTCGAACCTTGGAAAAGCCTCCCCATGCCGCACGGCAAAGAATTCCCGACTTTTTACTGCTGTACAACCTTAGACTAATTATTTTCCTCCCCATATGGAGGTGAAGGGAGGAACATGGCCCGTTCGAAGTTCGAAAGCGTGCTCGTCCGAAGTCCTCATTTTCGTCCTTGAGGAGGAACCAAGCAAAAAACCAGCTCCATGCTTCAATAAACGCATGAGACGAATTTGTGTCTGCGGGGGCTGCGGTGGAGCATCCGCGCTCTTTGTGGCAGCGTGGCGACCGCCGTGGTGACGTTTGTGGCGCTGGATTTCTTTTATACTTTATTTAAGATAGCTCAACGAATATTGTCATCTCTGTCCACAGAGAAGAGTCCGTTTATGTTTTCGGTGGAGCCGACCTTTCGCTCCCGACTTACGCCATCCTATTGCACGCCGCCGTCCCTTCCCAAATGATCCCATCTGCATCCTTTGTCAAGCTGTACTCTGTGCACCAACCGAGCGTGGCAGCAAACTCATAAAGCCGGGCAGCATTTCGCAAGGAGTAAGACTCCAATGATAACCGGCCGTTTCGGTGACAAGTATTTAGCATTTACTTAACCCCTGGCCGAATTCAAGGACCACCGAGACAGACGTTGGAATGACAATGCAGCGTTCAGACCATAGCCCATGGCTGCTCATCTAGAGGTGTCCACGGGTGTGCGAATCGCGCAGCATTTTCCCAAACGCCGCCCAAACACCGCATCCGACAACGTCCACGTGGGAAGCATGTACCATAATTTCCACTCCCGTAATATTTTTTCAACTTCAAGACAAGTGCCTCAAAACATACATATATGCATATTGACCGATCCATATTTTTTTCATCCTCTAAACCCGTCCATGTGGTCGAATTTTCTAATAAGGCAAGCACTAGAATTTTATTCACTACGCTGTACTTGTACTTGTTTTTTTTCTTAACCATTTTCGCACTGTTCGGTCGTGTTGGTTCGCGCGTCGTTGCCCTCCCCTACGAAACGATCGATCAGGCTGTTCAAGCTTCGGACGGGCGAAAGCGACCAAAAAAATCGGACGTGCAGCTGCCGACAATGAGGTCGCCTTCTTCATCGGGGCCGCGTTGCGAAGCCTCCCAGCGGCGGCGCTCTGACCGCTGCTCGAACTCGACACGGCCTGGCGGCGACGCCCGCGATCAACCACGACAGGGGCATGGAGGCGTCTTTGTAGCCGGCGGCCGCGCGTCATGGGCCCTCTCTTGGAGGAGTGCCAGCGCGCTGGCGTTTTTGGGCGTGGCCTCGCTGTTGGGGGCGGAGGCGGTCAGCAACGGGGGCGGTCACTCCTGCTCCGCGTTCGACGACGGGACCATCAAGTGCTGGGGTGCGAACGCTGTGGGCCAGCTCGGGCTGGGCCACACGAGCTCCCGCGGCACCACGGCGGCGCAGATGGGAGACACGCTCGGCGTGGTCAATCTCGGGACGGACTTCTTCGCCCTCGGCGTGACGTGCGGCCTGGACCACTCCTGCGCGTGGAACAACGCGGGCAACGTCAAGTGTTGGGGCGGCAACGCGTATGGCCAGGTGATCATAGGTTTTCTTGTATGAGTGAGACGCGGGGAGTGGGGATCAGTTTTTCTTTTTGGACGAGTTTTGTCTTTCTGGTGAGTGTTGTACGGGGTCCGAAAAACACCCAGAGAAACGATTCCACGCGGGTATTTAGGAGACCCAGACCAGGCAGGGCACAATTGCAACACCAGGGATTTCGAGCTTCGACGATGAAGGTACAATTTTCGGGGATGCTTACAGTATTTTGTGCTGTATTTGGGAATTTTTTTTTGAATACCATGCTCCGTTATTGCGACGGTGGTCATGATTTCTAAGGCGTTGATTGCTAATACTGTTTTTCTCGTTGTCATCCTCTCCTGCCCGCGCTGTATTCTCGTCTTGTTGTATCTGGCAGCTTGGCCTTGAGGACACGACAAACCGCGGCAACAGCACCGTCTCCATGGGAGACAACCTCCCGTACGTTGACCTCGGCGATGGAGACACCGCTGTGGAGGTAGTGGCCGCTAACCACTTTACCTGCGTCTTGCTCCACGACGAGACCGTCAAGTGAGCAACCGCAGCCCTGTGCGCGATATTCGGGTAGCAGTGGTAGTGCGTCGACGGGCACCGGAGTTCCGTTTTGTCGTGGTGGTTGGCGGTATGGCCTTAGCATTCGAAGGCGTTTGGACCTTTACCGAGGACGTTCACAACGTCGTCGGACCGATCGTCAAGGTAGCCAGACGAGTTTCGGTGGAGGTTGCGCAAATATCTGACCGCAGCCACGCAGCAGGGAGATGAGCGGGACCAGGGAACAGGAGCGAATAACAGAGGTTCCTTCCTGCTGGGTTTTGCCCGGACGTCCCAAATGCGTTCCCTGTCATCACTGACCTGGTTGTTCCTCTTTCCTTCTCCCCGTCTCCGTCGATGCCTTCCTGTCATCACTGACCTGGTTGTTCCTCTTTCCTTCTCCCCGTCTCCGTCGATGCCTTCTGTTAAAGGTGTTTCGGAAGAAACGATTGGGGACAACTAGGGTCTGGAAACGGCGACAACATCGGGGATGCGTTGGGCGAAATGGGCAGCGAGCTACCCATGTAAGGCACACCAAAACCTGTCTGCGGTAATGCCGTACTGTAGCCCCGTTACATGCCACCAAGGCGGCACGGCCATCGGTTGGCGATGCGCACAAAACGGACGCGAAAAACACGATTGCCAGTACAACGTACATGCAACGCGAACGGGGGGGGGTTGTTCACACGCAAAGGGGGTTCTTGAATTTCATGGTTTCATATGCAAAGGGCGTTGATGAGAATGCACCACTTGGTATGTACCCCTCGCTTTGTATTTTTTCGTAGTGGAAGTCTCGAATGTTCTTACGGTTTCGTCTCTCTCTCTCTTGTGTGCCGTTGGTGGTTTCGCTTGAACGCAGGGTGGAGCTGGTGCCGGCGGGGGCTAACTACACGGTCTCGGTCCTGACCGCCCACAACAGCCCTTGCGTGATCATGAAGTCCGACGTGGCTACCTCAGAGGCCGTCAAGTGCTGGGGTTCTAACGGCTACGGCAGCCTCGGCGTGGTGAGTACCTCGTCCGCACGTATGCGTGCGCGTGCACTGTTCAGTACGAGTATTGAACGCGCTAACCGGTTGTGAACAATGAGCAAAACTCCAGCCCTTTTTCGAGGCGTTTTTTCCCTGCCCTTGGTTCCGCGAAAGGAAATATATGCTGAAGATTTCCTCAGTCTTTCTGTCCAGGTGCAGCTGTCGAAAGGGACGTGAGGAAAGTTGCTTAGAAAACAAACGAATGGCTTTCCGAACAGTCTCCACCGCTATCGACCCGAAGAGACCAATATGTAACTGCTTGTTCATATCCTTGTCGTTTTGGTCCCCCGGGTTTTGTGGTTTCTCAGGGCGACGTGTACAACCGCGGAGACCACGCGTTGGAGATGGGCGGCTACCTGGACTCGGCCGACCTCGGCACGGACGTGGCCGCCGTCGACCTTACGTCCGGCATGGACTTCGTGTGCGCGCTGACCGACACGGGGCGCGTCAAGTGTTGGGGCCGCAACTGCAACGGGCAGGGCGGGTTCGGCGACGTGGAGACGTACGGTGACGACCCTGACGAGATGGGGGACAACCTGCCCTACGTGGACCTCGGCACCAACCGCACCGCCATCTCCGTGACCGCCGGCGACGCCCACGTCTGCGCCTTGCTCGATGAAGGGTCCGTCAAGTGCTGGGGGAAGGGCTACTACGGCCAGACCGGTCTCGAGGCCTGGCAGTCCATGGGGCAGATTCCCGGGCAGATGGGCGACTCTCTCCCGGTCGTGGACCTCGGCAGCTCCGCGGCGACGTCGTCGTCCGCCCGTCGCAGGCTTGGCGAGGCCCGCGGTTTGCGGGGCCTTCAGGCTGCGACTACGGCGGTGTCGGTGGACAGCCTCTCGGCCGGGGGGCAGATGTCGTGCGCCATCGTTGACGGGGGCTCCGTGAAGGTGGGCGGTGTTTAGAACGGCGTTTTGGGTTTTAGTAGGATTCCTTGTCGACATCTCCAAGGGGTCCTTCGTATGGGTTCGCCCGCTTCTCGTGTGAGGAAGAGCCCTCCGAGCTCCACCCTGGCATGTGTGGACGTCTTTGGTTGTGCTCGTATTTAGTATTTTGAGGCTCGTGTCGGGGCAGTCCCGGGTAGAACATCGAAACGCGAAAAAGGACCAATCTAACTTTTTCCCACCGTTGTACATGAAATTGCAGTGCTGGGGCAGAGCGGTGGAAGGAGCGCTCGGCCTCGGAGACGAGACGGACAGGGGCGACCGCGCGGGCTCGATGGGGGATGCCTTGCCGCTCCTCTCCCTTGGCACGGGCAAGGTTGCGGTGGCTCCGTCGCCGACCCCGGAAGTCACGCTCCCCCCGACTCCGGCTCCGACGGTTCCCGCTACCCCGGCCCCGACCCTGGAGGCTCAAGCGCTGGTACGTGGTGTGTGGTTATTTGTTTTGGTACAGTGCAGCTTTCAGATTATGTTCTGAAGGCGGCGCGTGTTGGTTCTACAACCCGTCAGGGTTGTGTAACCCGTCAGGGTTGTCTGTCAGGGTGAGATTGTCTTGGCGCCGGGAGCCGTTGCGGCTTGGTATGTTTAGTACGCACTCTCTGTTCGGGTCGTGTTGGCCTTCTCTGTCGCTCTTTGTTTGTTTGTGTGTTGCGCCGCGTCTCCGTTGGTTGCTACGTGGTAGCGCACTGTGTTGCTTCGTGCCTGACGGTTTCGTTGCCGTGAAACGGCTGTGGTCCCCAGAACAGCCCCATCTGGAGACTGATTGTTGCTTGTCCATCTTGCTCCGTCTTATTTTGTGTGGCCCAGAGCCCGAAGCCCCCTAACCTCCACACCTTCCCCGCCGTCTGCGTTGCCCCCTTTGCGCCAACAGCCCACGTCTCCGCCCACGCTTTCGCCCACGCCTTCGCCCACGCCTTCGCCCACGCCGGCGCCCACGCCGGCGCCCACGCCGTCCCCGACGCTCGCGCCGACTATCGCGCCGACGGTGGCCGTGGCAACTGCTCGCGGCGGCTTCGAAGGAATTGCCAACGGTACGTATCGGTGCCCATCGTGCCTCCTTCGTTGTCGTGTGGTTGTGGGAACGCCCGTCGTAACTACCGTCTGACCGTCGTCGCGTTGTTGTTGTTGTTGTCTTCACATTTTGTTTTTTCTTCTTATCTTCACTTCAAATCAGCGCTCACAGCACTAGTGCCGTTTCCTCCAACTCGTGGTCACACAGAAGAGCCCCTCTCTACCCTCCCCTCCTGCGATACTTTGCCTTCCGAGTTTTAATGCGAGAAGAGTTCAGAACTCTCTTCCCTCTGTGTACACACGAACTAGCGCCATCCACAAGCGAGAGAAAAACTCATCTTGCAAGAAAAGCTCGCTTACGCCGGGATTCGAACCCCTGACCTGACATCTAGAAGGTTTCGAAGTTACCAACTAGACCACCGGGGCGACCGGCATTGAATGCCTTCCGGTCTGTGCTCAAAGTACCTTGTGACATACCGCCGATCTAACTCGACTGCTCTGTGGGATTGCCGTAGTCGAGAAAACCGAAGCGTGTTTGAATGCCCTGACAGCAAATATCAGTGTATGACCTCTCCCTTTCTGAACCGTGTGTTCGTGTTCCGCTGCTTGTCCCTCTGCGTGCCGTGGAAATTCCAGATGCTGGTCTTTCTGTCAACGAGGGGATCGCTGTCGCCGCGGGTGTGCCGCTGTTAGCCGTGGCCGTGTGCTGCTTCTGCGGCTTCCTGGCCGCCCGAAAGAAGAGGAAGAGCAAGGTGAGTTAAGAGTCAGTGACTGCTGAGACTGATCGCTGAGTAGGCCGTCTCGACGTGTCTTTCCGCGACGTGGTCGCGCGGCCGGGCTTGGGGCTAGCTTGCAGCGCATGTTCTGGGATGTAGCAGTCGTATGGGCTTGGTTGCAAGCACGTGGGGAGGTTGGCGCGCCAAACTTCCAGCGTTTGGTGGGTGATGTTTTTGATGTTGGTGTTTTTCGTTTTGTGGCATGGGGAGTGTGATGTTGGTGATGACATTTTTTTTGGCGTTGCCCCGGTCGTCGTCGAATCCACCAGAAAATAGTTGTCGTGTTGGTCGTTTCTTGTAGTCATTCCTTCGTTCTTTTCCTGCTCGATGGCGCCAAAAACAACGACGCCAACCCAGTGTCTTCCTCTCTCTCACCCCCCGCACGCTCTCTTGTCGACGGAGCAGAAAGAACGGGCGGACATCGAGGAGGTCGCCGCCATCGATGGCGGTGGCGGCGGTGGCGGCGGTGGCGGCGGCCGCAAGCCACCAACCGGCCACGCCGCGACCATCGCGCCCGCCTCCGCCGTCGGCTCCCGAGCCGGCTCCCGAATCGGCTCCCGCAACCACTCCCGCAACCACTCCCGCGTGGGGGATGTCTTCTACGCCCAGGGCCCCAGCAAGCACGGGAAGGAGTGCGGCTCTGGCAGCGTCTCCGTGGACGGCAGCGGCAGGGGGTCCTGGTTGGTGGCGACCGAACGCGCCCCGGCCGACGGGAGCGACAACGCTTTCGGTGAGAGGGCGGGCACACCATGCGGGGTGAAGCGAACGTGCCATGAACGTTGTCTTTGCGCCGTAAAGGGGCGGGTTCGTAGGAACGGAGTGCGTTATCTCCAGTTCTGCTTCTGAGCTCCCTTTGAGTTCTGACCAAAAGTGTGTGTTTCGTGAACGGAAATTTTCTGAATTTGTCCGCGCGGTCGTCGTACCCCACTAGACTAGTCCTCGGCACGATTTTTTCCTGTTATTCACACATCCTCGTCCCTTCCCGCCGCCGCCGCCGCCGCCCCGCCGCGATGTTGACTTGGCGACGCAGGCAACGAGGACAACGCGCACGACAAGCAGTCGGAGAACGATTTCGACGATGTAACTCCCGAGACCCGTGAGAGGATCAGCTCTTCGGAGACGCCACCTAACACCTGGGCAGACTACGAGGTGTGCTTGAACGCTAGTGTACAACACTAGCTTTGATTTTTTTTTTGTGTTTGCTCCTCGATCACTTTTTTTATTTTTTTTCGTGTTGTGTTGCGGCGCGTGGAAGCAACGAGCTTCCGTTTGTCAACTCGTGTGAGAGTCGTGCTACCTTGTGTTGGAGGTTGAGTCAATATTGGTTCGAAATCATCACTGCTCAACAGCAGTGTGGCCTTCATTTTTTTTTCTTGTGTCGGGGTCAAAAGGGGGGTATGTATTGAGGTGCGCGAGTACGTGGTATCCCCTGGTTCTTCCGGGTTGACTCGCGCGGAGTAGACGTTCCAATCGTGTTCGGAGATCTTCAAGACGGCAGAAAGCAACGCAGGGCTCTTTTTGTTTTGGAGTTCGAAAGCGTCTCTGAAACGTCAAGCACGTCGAAGTGTTGTTGCCGACGCCCGCAGTCGATTTATTCGATGCCACTGTCGATCTGCCCTAAACCTTCGACTTCCCACCGCTTGCTTACCCCTTCCGTTCTCCTTTCAAACACATGTGTATTCAACCCGAATAGGCTCAGCCGGTCACCGCCTCCGGCTCGTTCACCCCGGAGTCGAACGCCGCGCACTCGCGCGGGGGATCCATCTCCTACTCGCAAACCTCTCATTCGAGAAACGCGTCGAGCACGAGGTAATGGGACGTGACCGGCGGCGGCGGCGGCGTCACCCCGTAGTACGTAGTCTTGTTTTGTTTCGGCAGGGATGACGTCATCATCATCGCGGGCGTCGTCATTGTAGTTGTTGCCCACCCTCTGCTTCTTCTGCAAAGCCGACAGGGCTAACCGGTTGGGTGGGGTCCTCGCCGCCGTCTCTATGATGTGGTCCGCACATCCCGGAATGGCTGGCGGATGGATAGGTGGACGGACGCAGGCACGCAAGGTGTATTGGGCTTTTTTCATTGGTGCGTGCCTTTTTGCTTTGCCAGCGCATCCATATTTCTGTGGTGGGAGGGGGTGTGACATGTAACTAGCGTAATTTTTTCCGCGGGGGATATTGCTGTCGTGTCGACTGTCTGCGCGCTTCTTATTTTTGTATCGCGCAAGGGTGGGTCGAACGTGTTGCGCCCGCCGCTTATCTTGCAGGCGTTTGGATGCCCTTCAGCGCGAGGCAAGCCTTGGTCTTGTGTGTCAAGCGGTCTTGATTGATTGATGAACTGCGCGCGCCACGTGGTTTTTTTGTTGGGGGGGGGGGAGATTGGGTCCTTCGTTCTGTCGTTATCCAAGTGTTTTTTGGAGTTGATTGTTTGCAGATTCCCGCGCGATGCGGATGAGAGTGTAGAATATTGTTCGGTTCGTACATTGGTTCCTTTCATCATTGTTGGCATGCGTGGATGGGTACCGCATGGTTCAGAGAGACAGACGGACACAGCTGTGTCCTCGAGTCATGGGTTCAAGAACGGACGTAGGTCGAGACGTGCGATGGCCATAATTTTTGGGTTGTTGTCGTTGTTCCAAGGCTTTTACGCCGAATCAAGGCGAATAGGAGAGAACCTGCATCACCTCAGCGGACCTTAACGAGGAAGTAATAGCCGATACTTGTCCATAGGCCAGTGGAGGTTTCGTCCGCGCAGCGACCATCGACCGGGTCGGTTATATCCCACGCGCGAAAGCTGGGCGACGTTTGGTGTAGCCGACCACGTGCGTTGAGGCTGTTGGGGGGCCACCAGCCTGCCGTGTGTTTCCCACCTGGTATATTCGGTGCCATCTACAGTCGATAGCAGACTCTGTGTGTCAATGTTGGTGACAGATTTTTCTTGCCTGTGTTCGTTGGCGCTGTTGGACTTTGGTTTTTTACCACCGTCAACTTCATGTCGCTATTTTTGCCTGTTTGCTCGTGAGTCTTGGTTGTGCGAACGGCGGGATATATTATCGTAGGCCGTGCGCTAGGTGTCCCTGGGCTGGTTCTTGCCCGGTATATTTGCTCGCTTTGCTAGGCGAAGAGTTTTGGGCGGGGGTTGGACGAGTGAGTGCGGGAGGGCACATGTCAGCCGACCTGAGTCAACTCTCTCTCGGTGTCCGTGACGTTTGATGTCAAGATATCATACCTATATGAATTGGGGTTCACGATAAATGGTGCATTTTGACCGTTGCGTTCAGTGCATGTGTTTCCCGCGAGCCCCCCTCTTTGGAAAAACCTCTATGCGCCCCTGTAGTCTGTCGTTTGGTATGCGTATGTACCCTGGTTCGCAGTCAAAGCAAGAGGGTTATAGTAGTTGGGGGAAGGGAAGTCGTTTTCCGGTGGTGGATGGGGGGTATCGTGGGCGAAGTGGAGCTGGTGCGGATGGACGTGTGTTGCGAATATCGCTGTTGTAACCTAGAGATGACCTGGTACCGCGCGCGTTCTACCTTTTGGGTGTTTTTGATTCCTGCCATGGTCGCACATTTTGGTGGGCGGCGGGCGCACTGGATGATTCCAACCAGGTTCTTTTTTGTTGGCGGGCGGCGTGAGTGTCGCCGATACCTCGTGTATACTGCGACCGTGTTGCCGTACGCTCCTACCGACACATTTTTTGGTTGTTCGTGATTTGCCAGTCTCTCCTTGTTGGATTGGAACGTGCGGCAGCTGTGCTGGTGGATGAAACGGCTCCAGGTCTGCTACTTGTAGCATGCTCGGGGGAGCAGAGGGGCGCTCTCTGTGCGCCCCTATGGAAAGAGAAAGAACTGTGTATGAGTAAGGTGTTTAGTTGCTTGGCTTTCGATTACCTTGGTGAAGAAAGCGTGACTTTTCTGGAGTGACCGGCCGCCAGTAGACGGGGGGCGAATCGAAGCTACGTTCGTTCTGTACAACTCAGGACATGCATGCGTGTGTGTAATGTTGTGTGTAGTAAAGGGGTTGGGGGCACGCATGCTCCCGCATGTATGGATAAGACGACCAAGAAGCAATATTTGTTCTCTCCTGTCCTTGTTTGTTTTCGTTTGTTGTGTTTTCCACTTGCGAGCAGATGCTGTTTTTCCGTTGCGTGCAAATATTAATAATTGCACATGACGATTCATTTCTTGGCCCGGCCAACCTCGTTTTTCCGTTCTGTCGTCGTGCACATGTCGGCGGGTGCTGTGTATTGTCTACCACGGAATGCTTGACGCAAAGCCGACCGAACGAAAGCAGAGTAGGGGTACAAATGTGTGTTCCGTTACAGCAGGGGGGGAAATATCAAAATGCCAACACGGATTTCTGTTTTGAGGAGGGCCAATGCGTGTTTCCGAAGTCGGTCGGTCCACGCGAGACTGTACCCGGATTTACGCATGTGAGCACATCATCGTCCACAGGCGAATCTTATTCGGCTAAGCAAGGGTTGCACGTATCAAGCACGTGCTGCAGCCCAGCCCACCCAATCCTCTTACAAAACCAGGCCTTTGTTTTAGAGATTGGTCGTATGTGAAGTAGTCTCTCTATGTACAAGTATTATTTTGTGTCGGTCTTTGTGGTTCTGATGCTGCCATGCCTGCCTAGACTACATACATCCCTTGCTGACCTGTCGCTGGCGGTCCCGCAACACAACAAGGAGAATGCATGCATATATCTAGCGAGACAAATAATAAGGAGATCTTGGGAGCGGAGAGTATTTATTTGTCCATTCCATGGTAATCTAATCATCATGATGAAGCGCGTATGTACAGCCTTTTACTTTCCGTTCTCTGAAGTTCTCTCTCCGTATATTTTTTCTATCAATTTTTCCTGTTCTCTTTCTTTGCAGACTGTAAAAAATCGCGATACATACCGCACCCCTTCCGTCAAATCGGTCGTCGGGGTTCGTCCGTTCAGCCACTTGGTATTTATTGCAACGACATGAAGGAAAAGGAAGATCTGAAGACGTTCCGCTCAATAAAGGAAAAGACAGAGGGGCATTGATTGAACGGCCGACGCAGCCGAGACGATGATATTGCGTCTGCATCTATCGGTCCCTCTCTGCCATATCCCACCTCCAATAAATAACCAATGGGAAGAGTAGGGAGAAATACTCCCGACGGCTGGACCTCATCACGTACGTACGTTGTTGACATCCAACGAGTAAGATCATGTTGAAACAACGAAACGAAGTGAAACAAAGACACCACAGAGAGTATACATGCCCCACGATGGTTCGAGTTGTTGATGTTACACAGGTGGGGGGGCGTACTGCTCGATATCTTGATGCCGTCGTGGCTGCACATCTTGCTCGCGCCGTCGACTGCTTACGGCACTTCGTTACAACACCACGACACGCACAATTCAGTACAGACTACATATATATTATATGTATGTATGTATGTATGTGCATAGATAGATAGATGTCGAGTATTTTCACCGATCGTCTACGCAAGTGCACTTACAAGTTAAGTTAAGTGCACTTACCAGATACATACATACATAGATTGATGTGTACACCACCTCTAGAGGGACGTTACACGCATAATAATAAGCAGTATATTATACTTCCTCTGTATCATAAGTCTGTGCCGTTATGTTTTTGCGCCCCCTTATTCACGGTGTCCGATCTGTTTTTCCCCCGATTTTTTCGTTGAATTATCCGGCGTTTTTTTAGCAAGAAAAACTTCTTTTTTTTAGTTGATGCTTGAACCATGCGGCTGAACGGCCGGAAAACATTGAGTTGGCCTAAAAACGGCCATATTTTGCCCTTTTCCAGGTACAAGTAGTAGTAGGGGGTGGGTGGGGCTAAACGCCTGTCCCGCCCCCAAAAACTCAAGAATTATCCCCACCCCAAAGATAACTATAAAGAAAGGAGGTCCAGCTGTAGGAAGCAGCTGGGTCCTAGGGTAAAGAAAGAGGTACGGTCGCTTGATGCCTTGTCTCCACGATTGTGTAGAAATGAGATGTTGCTTGAATTGAGAGCGAGGAAGGTCTGATTGAGGAGGGGATCCTCCTAGCAACCAGGGGGCACGCAGATAGCTGAGTCCTGATGTGGTATGATCCCTGAGAGGCATACCTCACGGACATCCCACATCCTATACTAGACTAAGATGTACCCTATCTAGGCCCTACAGCAACACTCCTTAACACTAGCCCACCCTGAAGATCATCTATCTATGCAGATTCTATACTCAAATCCAATAAGCTCGATCCAGAAGAGCTGATGATTAATACTCCTGAATCGAAAGATATGACTCTTCACAATATCATCCAAAGGGAAGGGGAGCTAGCTGTAGAAATATCCCGAATCTACCCCCCACACCACCATTGAGACAAAGCTTGCATAACCAAATTGACAACACAAGTGCGGCTCAATGAAAAATGCTATTACCCATAAAAGGGGATATGGCTAGGTAAGAAAATGCTGCAAAGCCCATTAACAACATAGATGACAATACAAAATCAATATCAAAACGCCACACACCACTCTTTTACGCGCACGGGCGCGTATCTCAGCTGGAGGAATGAGAGTGACTACTACCCGAAAGAGTCCAGAAGACGCCGCCAACAACAACAAAATATTAACTTCAAAACCCAATCAAAAGGAGCAATGGGAAGCCACGTTAGGTGCACCACTTCAGGGTGACAAAGTTGATTTCGCTGGTAAGGAAGGCATGACTACTTAGAGAGATAGAGTGAACGATCAACAGGGTCGACCACGGCTAAGCCTGCGACAAAATCTTTCAACCAACGTAGCCCAAATAAGCGATATAATTGCTCCAGGACATAAAAAAATCGAGGGCGGAAAAAGGAAAGCGACGAATCGCCCTGTATCCCGCGCACAATGGCGATATTGAACACATACACACACACAACATAAACACATAAACCACACAACACACACTACACAACAACAACACTGAAACTCAGAATCTCGACGGTGATGAAAGTTTCGCCTGAAGGTGACGATGACGGAGAAAAGTTTAATCAAGCGGGTGATGACGAGCGTCGACGAAGGCCACAGGAGAAGGCGACGCCACGGTATGGAGTCTCAAAGCATGAAGCGCAGTCGACATGCCTCCGTCAAAGAAGAAGCAAACAGGATCAAACATGAGTTAGTTGCAAAATGGACGACGAAACTTGGGGAACGAACTCGTTTTCCAAGTATTCAAAGGCCAAAAGACACCGACGAAACTTGGGGAACTCTTTTTCCAAGTGTTCAAAGGTAAATAACACCGACGAAACTTGGGGAACTCTTTTTCCAAGTGTTCAGAGGCCAAAAGACACCGACGAAACTTGGGGAACTCTTTTTCCAAGTGTTCAAAGGTAAATTACACCGACGAAAGTTGGGGAACTCTTTTCCCAAGTGTTCAGAGGCAAGCAACACCGAAACCATCCTAGCTAGGTAAAACGGGACGAACCCTAATGCTTCGACTACACGCTCTGAGCGAGGACAAAATAGAGTGAAGAACGGTCAAAGCTTGTTAAGCGTCAAAGGAGTAACCAAAAGGGACGCAAAACATAGAAGCACGACCTATCCAAGGCGCGGCAATCCACTGGTGACTGCAGGCAGCCAGGGAGAAAATTCGAAAAAAAAAAAAAGAATAAACACAGGTCGCGGCAATCCAATTCGGAAGGCGGGCAACAAGGGAGAAACTTAAAAGCAAGTGAACACACATCCAGGTCGCGGCAGTCCAATAAGGAATGCAGGCAACAAGGAAAGACATAAAGCACGGTCGATCCAGGAAGATAACCTTCCGTCAAAACCTATTCAGAGGGAGAGACATTCGTCTATTATTCCATTCAGCAACAGCTAACGATGCAGACGACGCCAGATATAAAGGAGGTCCAGCTGTAGGAAGCAGCTGGGTCCTAGGGTAAAGAAAGAGGTACGGTCGCTTGATGCCTTGTCTCCACGATTGTGTAGAAATGAGATGTTGCTTGAATTGAGAGCGAGGAAGGTCTGATTGAGGAGGGGATCCTCCTAGCAACCAGGGGGCACGCAGA